GCACTTGTCGTTTGTTGATTTGTTGATGATAGGGCTAATGATGTTTAAGGCCCATGTTCATCTCTGCCCATGAATGTGAGTGTAGGAGAGTCTCTGTGCTAAGAAAGGGTGAAAACCTGAATTTCTTTCTTTTTTTTAGATTTTAATATTTATTCTTAAAAATATAAAAGTGTAGTTAATCAAAGAACTGCTAATATTTGACTTGTAAGCTCTGAAAGTTTAAAGTGCAAATTAAGTCAGGAGAAATTAATTGAATATCTAAAATATAACTTGTTTTTTTTAAAAAAATGCGTTTTCTCTTAAATGATTAGGAATTCAAAATACGTTACTCATTGGTCTGATTTAAAAAAGAGGATTAATTTTGTCATCTCAAATGAAATTTTTAATACAAAAACCAGTTTAAATTTGATTAATATTCTTTAAAATAATTATAAAAGGTATAAACAGCTAATGAGATTTCTGTTTGTCTGCAATATAATGTTGGCCATCTATCTTTTAGGGGTTTTGGTTTGCTCTGTCAAAGAACAGTGTAGAGAGCCGCCCCTTTGAGCTGCGTGACTTGGCAGCCGCCATATCAGCCACATGGCTTGCCGATCCCCCTGGGGGACGCCATCTTGAAACAGCAAAGGCCCCTCCCTCTGACTTAGCCAATCACAAAAGGAATGTCTGCTCACTGAGGCAGGATAGGATATCAGGGGTGGAGTTTTAAGGCGGAGTTTTACTACGGAAATACGGAAAGTGTGCTTGCCTCTCGGATTTATTTAATACTATTTTTAAGAAGATATTTTTAATGCTTAATAAATTAGCAATCACGGTCTTAATATAATTTCAGTGGTATGATAGACCAATGTTTTAAGTAGTTGGCCTTATAAGGGCCGACAATAGACCTCGTATTTCTTAAAAGGCTTATAGATAAGAGACATTTTTAAGTCATCTTAAATTCTCAGTAGAACCATAGTTATACATATATCATAAACAAATAAAGAGTAATTGATTCCATGGTCAAGACTAGATCCTATATGTTGAGAACTGCTTTTAAATGTTGAAAAATTTTAATTAGATATGTTTTTGACAGTTTTTCCCGAGTGCAATATTTCAA